GAGTTTCGTCATCCCAGTCAGTGCAGCAGTCTTTTGCTCCTAGAGGTGAGCAGGAGGATCAGGGGCCTACGGGGCGCGTGTATGCTGTTACCGCGCAGGATCTAGTACCGGCTCCATCAATAGTGAGAGGTACCTTTTTGTTTTGCAACTCGGTTGCTATTGTGTTGATTGATACGGGTGCATCTCATTCTTTTGTATCTGCTGCATTTGCATCTGTTTTGGAGTTGGAGTTGGCACAGTTAGCATCTCCTATATGTGTAGCGTCACCTCTTGGGGGTGAACTGATCTTGAAACAGGGTTGGAGCAGACTTTTGTTGTTTAGTTCCTTTGATGTATTACATGTATATTCAAGCCAAGGGCTTTATGTGTAAATGAGTTAGCACTCTTTTGTTGTAACCAAGTGTTAACTTGGAAAGCTGTAAGCCTTTAGGGCATTTGCTTTTGTCGTTAACATGTAATACTTTTGGTAATGGAACTCTGATGAATAGAAGAATGTGGAGCTTTTATATATCAATGCATGTTTATATTGATGGATTTAATGTTATTATTTTGAAGGCGTTACAGTCTTCCAGGATACGACGGTCAAAACCAGCTACGGCAGAAGCGCTCTCTGTCTAGCTTAGCGAACAAAAACAGTGGCAGCACTCTCTCACTGTAGAAATTTCTAGCAACTGATTAAAAGTGGAAGAAACAATTTATGTGTTGGAGACTTGGCAAGAGGGTCTCAATTTATACATGTATAGGGGAGAGAGGAGAAGCCTCCAGCCTTTATGGTTGGTCACTAATGCACCATTAGCCTCTATAATAAAGACAGGAGTTACAAACCCCATTAATGCACTATTAAACTCCACAATAAAGGCAAGAGTTACAAACCCCATTAATGCACTATTAAACTCTGCAATAAAGGCAGAAGTTACAAACCCCATTAACTCTTTCATGAAGCTAACTTCATGGGGCAATTTCTCATTCAATTTTCAATGGTTTTGGCTATACTATTTGTGGTGTAAAGATCTCATTGTAGAGTATCTAGACCCACTTAGACCCAACTCCAAAGATGGTTGGGACCCACTTTAATATTTAATTAAAGTCACTAAAAAATCATTTTTTTCCAACACTAATCATGAGGAAGCATGTCTCAAGATCAAGGAGCAAACATTCAAAGACTGCCACGTGTCGGTATATGAATGATTTGAAGCAGTGGACAGTTGGCAATTCGAAGGTTATGAAAATTAATGACTTAGTTCCAGAATTTGAATTCATTACAACAAATAACATTTTTTGTGATTACATTTTAAGCTGTCAAAAGTCTTTTTTAATAGTGGATTATTTTTGTTAACTAAAAGTTTTGATCGTTAAATTAGTCATTGAATGATTGATGGAAAAAGTAATTGGTGACTAAAAAAAATTTAGTCACCGAAAGTTCTCAATTGTTTAGTCACCAAAAGTTTTTTAATAAAATTAATTAGCACATTTTGTTTGACTAAAGATTTTTGTTATCAAAAACCTAAATTATTTAGGACAATTAAATATTTGGTCGCTAAATTTTTTTTTTTCATCTTAATTTTTTTTTAGTTACTAAATGTTTTAGTTACTTAAAGTTTTTTTTTCATCTTAATTTTTTTTAGCTACTAAATGTTTTAGTCGCCTAAAGTCTTTTTCTTTTTCTTTTTTTTTATTACCATATTTAGTCACCAATTTTTTTTCCTTCTATTTTATTTTTTAGCTACTAAAGTTTTAGTCACTTGAAATTTGATTTTTTTTGGTGATATAGTAGCAAAAAAGTTGTTTTTGTTTTATTTTTTATTTTTAGCTACTAAAGTTTTAGTTGCCTAAAGCCTTCTTTTTTTTTTTTTTTTTTACTTTTTTACTACTAAATGTTTAGTCGCCAATGAGTTATTTTTTATTTATTTTTTTAGCTACTAATTATCTAGTCGTTAAAATTACTTACTTCCTTTTTAGCTACCAATTGTTTAGTCGCCAAAAATGTCAGTTTGTGCTTTGTTTTAATTAATTTGTTCACAACCTGTATGTATCCCATGTAACCTGTATCATGTATATAAACAAAACAATACATATATTATCAACCATTCCACAATCTGTATCAATTTTACTTCCAACCATCCAAAAACAAATAACTTTTAATGTCAAATTCCATACAAATATATTCCAACCTAAATAAATAATTCCATACAAAACAGAGGATCATATGAAAATCATGTCCTCCGTGCACAAAATACATTTACCACGACAAAATGTAATCTATATACCATGCCAATAATTATCCATTCGATGCCAAAAGTAATCTGTACCATGCCAAAAGTTATCTATACGCTTAATACTAAACTACACAAAGGTAGAGGATGACAAAATAGTAGGATTATAAAAAAGTGTAATTTGTCCTCCATACACAAAAATGAAATATCCACAAGTTCACACCAAAAATCATATACAAAAAAATTTGCACCCATTAGTACCAAAAATGCATGCAAAACTTGATAGTTTGAGGTAAAAACAGCAGAGGTTATCGTGAGTGAATTAAACTGTTCATCTTCTTCAATACTTTTTACATTATACTCTTACACATGGTTGAAGTGTTGACTGAAAAGATGACATTATGTGTGACTTTTTTTTTTAAATAGCATATTTATGGAAACAAGTAGCGGCACTTATTGCTATACAAAATATCAGTAAATTCAATCTAATAATCTCCAGCAACATAAAGTTCCAAATGCATGTCACTACAAGAATTAACACTTTTGGCAACCAAAAAATTGGTCGCTAAAAACCCATTTTTAGTCGGCAAAAGTTATCCGCGACCAATTTTTTTGGTCGCTACTTTGGTCGCCAATTAAGGGTCGGCAAAAGTAATTTGCAACCAAAATTTTGGTTGGTTGGGAAAAGTTGGATTTGCTGACTAAATTTTTGGTCGCTAAATATATCATTACTGCGACTAATCCATTTTGTCGCTAAAACATTTTGGTAGTGAAAAGTCAGCTTTTGCCGACCAAATATCTTAGTCGCCAATTGTGACATTCCACGACGAACAAATTTGGTCGCCAATTATCACATTCAAAGACCAAAAAGTTTGGTCGCCAATTGTGACATTTCACGACCAAAAATTTTTGTCGCCAATTGTGACATTTCACGACCAAAAAATTTGGTTGCCAATTGTGACATTCTGCGACCTCTTAGTTTGGTCGCCAATTGTCACATTCCACGACCAAAAATTTTGGTCGCCAATTGTGACATTCTGCGACCTCTTAGTTTGGTCACCAATTGTCACATTGTACGACCAAAATAATTAGTCGCCAATTGTCACATTCCACGACCAAACATGTTTGTTGCCAAAAGAAATGTTTGCGCAACTAAAACTTTAGTCGGCAATAGACCTATTCGCGACCAAATCCTTTGGTTGCCAAAATTAATAATTTTAACAACTAATTATTTAGTCGCCAAATGTGCTTTTTGATACACCGACTACTTTATTTAGTCGGAAAAAATATAACTTATTTTTCCCAACTAATCAATTGATCGCTAAAACTATAAAAATAAAACCAAATTTTGGTCGCCAACGTCCAACAAAATAAACCTGTTATTTATAATAATCCATCCAATTTATTCAATATAATCTATAATTTTCAAACCAACAAATAAATTGAATCATCAACATTTAACAAAATACATATATCAACCATTTCTGAACCTATTTAATTAAAGTCAGCAACTATTATAAGTTTACATCCACAAATATAAGCAAACTACATATTTCATCTAGCATAAAAATTTAAAACATAACAAGTACATGTTATTTTGTTTTAAATTTTTATTCATGTATATCACCCCAAAAATATAACTAGTAGTCTACCAAATATTTTCTATACACACCCATCCAAAAATATAACTAGTAGTGTATCCAAAAATATAACTACTAGTCTATCCTAATATTTTTCATACACATCTATACAAAAATATATAATTCTTCCAAAAATGCAAAAAGTGCCATTTTGTTCTGTATAATTTTGCTTTGTGCATGAGTTCATCCATCTGTACCAAAGAAAAGAGAAATAATGTCAGGTAAAATTGGACAAATAATGAAAAATGTCCATGAAAAGCAAAGGTCACATTAGCAAATTAAATGACTATCATTATCAAATTGTAAATAAAACAATAGCATTCTTATGTTTATAGAATAAATTGGATCAGCCACCATTCCAGATCCAATATAGTGCCACACAGCAGAATCCAACATGGCAACTGAAATTGATCCATATCATATTGTCAATAACTCCTAGAAATCCTCAATGAACCTTTCATGCGAATTAAATTTCAATCCAGAACCAACCACAATTAGTACCCCAGCTGTGTGTGCCGCTATGTGGTACAATCGCTTTTCAGAAGCCTTCTAATGAAACTAGTATTGCGAAGGCTTCTAAAGGCTCCTGATCTGTCATGTTGTGATGAAACGAGTGTTACACTGTTGACACAGTGTTACACCGCAACATGCAGACCACCAAAGCAAAAGAAAGAAGAAAAAAGAAGTATCTATATTTTTTAATCTATATATCTAGACTGATAAATAATGAATGAATGGATGATGAACAGATTTCATTACATGGCAATATCGAAGCAGAGGCAAAGGGAGATGCCAATGCCGGAAGATCGGATAAGGGGTGTGGCACTTGACTACCCAGAGGTTGTTCGATTGACTAACCCAACCAATTCACTCCTCAAAGGGGAGGTAGGTTGTCTACTTTTAAAACAAAACTTTTTATACTTGGAAAAAAGTTAAGTTTGTGGCTATTGGGTAGTTTTATTTCTAATCGTTTTTATTTACAGATAAGTATTAGAAAAAGCAAATACTAATATATTATATTATATTTATCATACATGTATTGATCATTGATATAAAAAAAATGTTTAAAACAAAAAATAACATATAGTAGCTCTCTAATAAATTTGATATATCGATGATTAATAGTTTGCATTTGTAGTTGACTATCAACTATAAATACAAACTATTAATTGGTGTTGATAGTCACCACCATATATAGTTGACTATTAATTTGTATTCTTTCTTCTGTAACAATGCCATTTGACATCACCACCTGAAGATCATATTCCATCAAAACAAATACAAATACTAAAATTTTCATACAACAGAATGTATGGTGTTCTCACTACTATATTATCTTGAATAAGTCCCACAAGCCATGATGATGATTTGTGCACTTACTGTTGGGACAGTTTCTAATGTGTTGGGACAGTTTTTGTTGGGACAGTTTCTGTTGAGACAGTTTCTAAGTTGGGACAGTTTGTTAGGACAGTTTCTAAGTTTCAAACAAAAATTGTGAAAATTTCTAATTTCACAATATAGGCCACCAGTTTACTCCAAAAACAAGCATCCAGACAAATCAGGATGACTATCCAGACAGATTAGGATGATTGACAGATCAGAAAAAAACCAAACAAATCTGGAGCACACATTGAAGCCAGACAGATCATGCAGACCATCCAAACAGATCAGGATGATCTTTCTGACGCCAGACAGATCATGAGACCACCAAAGGAAAAGAAAGAATAAAAAAGAAGAAATAGAGAGGGGCAGACCCACACTGCTGCCATAGTGTTACACAGCAACAGAGCACAATGCACCAATCTGCTACTGATGAAGACATAGCATACATAGCTCCAAGGCAATGAGTTTCCATCAGCAGCCAACTTACAGACATAGTAGCAAGCACAACAGACCCCAAAAACAAGCATTGAACTTCACCTAACACGTATTGCCAATCAAACATAAAGTACACCTAACCAACATCATAAAGACCACCAGAATTGATCCAGATCAGTCCACCTTCATGACTGATGCAATACTTCACCATGCAGACCACCAAAGGAAGAGAAAAGAAGGAAAAAGAAGAAATAGAGAGGAGCTAATTCAGAGCAGTTTTGGACCCCATACGCCCCGGTTTTGCCTACTTTGTCACACTTTTATGTCCTACATAACTAATCATGCGTCCTATCGAAGCGTTGCTTTTTTTCACAAGTTTCTTTGATCTAGGCTGAGGTGACCGGTATGATCTCGGGTTGTTTCCAAGCTGTTTCCAACTTTTTGCCCCAACTGGCTCGTTTTTGCCTTTTTTTTTATCACATTTTGGTTTCCATGGAACAGACAAAAATTCTGGTTTAACTATTCATCCTTGGATCAGTAGAACATTACAATGTTTGAAGTTTCTTTTCTAGTCAACATAAACTAAACTGTAAATTCCATCTTTTAAATTTTGAACTAAAATTAGTTTAAAGACAACCATTTCTCTATGATATTCTCATCAAACGTTTATTTGCCTTTACTTTGAACGTAAGTATAATCAAATATGGTTTAACACACTTACCAATTACCATGACTATCTATTGTCGAGAATTTGGTGGATTGCGATTTTCCAAAACTTGCGCCAACATGCTCTGAAGTCCAAAAAGCTGCCGCTGCATCTCCTCACGTTGTCTTGTATTCTCTGCCTCTTTCATTTGTTGCTTCTCTTCTTTTTTTTGTTTCTCCTCACGGTTGCTCTGCTGCTCCGCACGCAGTATCTCCAACTCGGATGTAAGCCTTTTCAATTGCTCGTCACATGCTTGTGATGCAGCAGAGAACCCAGAATCACAAGAAGAAGGCTTTGGTCCAACCCCAAATCCTCTCAAGTATCCCTTCTTCTTACCAAGAACCACTTTTGATATATCCTCTTGTCTCATCAACATTCCAGACTCGATAGACTCATCCCACACCCTTGTCATTTGCTCCTATAATTGTAAAATATAAATATTGTTAGTATAAGACAAACACAAAAGTTGCATGTATAAGTGTCCAAATGATTTATATGCTTGCATGTAAATCACTGCATATAGGATCAATCCACTGTTTTGTCTTCTTTGTTTTGATGAGTGTCCTTGTAGAAATTACAGAGATCTGGCAACAATCCACCATTTTCCTTCACCTGTGATATGTCAAACACCAAAGATAACACTCCTTCATTAATATGGTTAATTCGTTAAATAAGTGTGGATAAAGTTAATAAATCAACAAAATACATCTCACCACAATACTCATCGCTGCCGGAAAAGATCGCGGCCCACTAATGTGATTGTAGGATAGCTTGCTCCTATTCTTTTTGCCGGCGTCGTAGCGACGCTACAAAAATCCACATTGTACGGGTTTATTACATATATAGTTAAAGTACTAAGTCATTTTTTTTGGTCATGGTTAGATACAAAAATCCAAATTGTAAGGGTTTGTGACATATATAGTTAAACAATGATAACAGTACTAAGAAGCCTTGTGAAGGTGGTCAAATACTTTGCATTTATAGGTAGATAATTTGATCCTTCATTCTATATGATTTCACAGAGCATTAACGGTGAGAGTAAAATTGATGCAAAATCGAATAGTTTAGATATAAAATTCATGTTATTAAAAGAATGAGTTGAATTGAGGAAATATCATTTTGTCTCCTAAATTATCACTCGGAAATCAATTCAGCCCATATATTTTCAATTATATAAATTTTACACCTAAACTATTTAATTTTGAATCAATTTCACCTCTGTCGTCAGCCACTATCTATAATTAGATGACACTTGCTGATGTGGCACCAAATTTCATTTAAAATATCATTTTGCCCCCAAGCTATTCGTAAAAAAAATCAATTAGACCCCTAATATAGAAAAAAAATAAATTTAAATATTTAATAATAAATTTTCATCTAAAAAAGTGAGAAAAATAAATTTTAAATAAATAACATTTCAGTATTAGTTCTGTTAAGTATTCTTTAGAGAGTAATTGCTAACTTTTGCATTAAATTGTCATTCAATCGATATTACGACAGAGTAGGTACTAATCTTGATTTTGTTATCAGATCTCGACATATTCTGTAACGCCCCGAAATAATTCGACATGAACTACCCACATTAATTAACATACAATAAGGAACACTTTTTAATCAATCGTCTCACCTAATGAGTCACAAATGAATAATTGAGCAACTGATTTCATTGGCATATATATGATTCCCAATGGGGTGATTACTAAAGGCACTGAAAAAGGATGGTTGGATTAGGTTGCGTGCCACACTAATTAAACATCTGATCAGTGATATAAAAAAATGTTTAAAACAAAAAATAATATATAGCAGCTCTCTAATAAATTTGATACATCGATGATTAATAGTTTGTATTTATAGTTGACTGTCACCTATAAATACAAACTATGAATTGGTGTTGATAGTCACCACCATATATAGCACACCACCGAAAGCATCTAGACAGATCTGATGCAGACCACCAAAATTGCTCCAGATCAGTCCACCTTCATGACTGATGCAATACTTCACCATGCAGACCACCAAAGGAAAAGAAAGAATAAAAAAGAAGAAATAGAAAGGAGCAGACCCACACTGCTGCCACAGTGTTACACAGCAACACAGCACAATGCACCAATCTGCTGCTGATGAAGACAGCAGCCAACTGACAGATTATATTGATGCAATACTTCACCATGCAGACCACCAAAGGAAAAGAAAAGAAGGAAAAATAAGAAATAGAGAGGAGCTAATTCATAGCAATTTTGGACCCCAAACACCCCGGTTTTGCCTACTTTGTCACACTTTTATGTCCTACATAACTAATCATGTGTCCTATCGAAGCGTTGCTTTTTTTCACAAGTTTCTTTGATCTAGGCTGAGGTGACCGGTACGATCTCGGGTTGTTTCCAAGCTGTTTCCAACTTTTTGCCCCAACTGGCTCGTTTTTGCCTTTTTTATATCACATTTTGGTTTCCATGGAACAGACAAAAATTCTGGTTTAAATATTCATCCTTGGATCAGTGGAACATTACAATGTTTGAAGTTTCTTTTCTAGTCAACATAAACTAAACTGTAAATTCCATCTTTTAAATTTTGAACTAAAATTAGTTTAAAGACAACCATTTCTCTATGATATTCTCATCAAACGTTTATTTGCCTTTACTTTGAACGTAAGTATAATCAAATATGGTTTAACACACTTACCAATTACCATGACTATCTATTGTCGAGAATTTGGTGGATTGCGATTTTCCAAAACTTGCGCCAACATGCTCTGAAGTCCAAAAAGCTGCCACTGCATCTCCTCACGTTGTCTTGTATTCTCTGCCTCTTTCATTTGTTGCTCCTCTTCTTTTTTTTGTTTCTCCTCACGGTTGCTCTGCTGCTCCGCACGCAGTATCTCCAACTCGGATGTAAGCCTTTTCAATTGCTTGTCACATGCTTGTGATGCAGCAGAGAACCCAGAATCACAAGAAGAAGGCTTTGGTCCAACCCCAAATCCTCTCAAGTATCCCTTCTTCTTACCAAGAACCACTCTTGATATATCCTCTTGTCTCATCAACATTCCAGACTCGATAGACTCATCCCACACCCTTGTCATTTGCTCCTATAATTGTAAAATATAAATATTGTTAGTATAAGACAAACACAAAAGTTGCATGTATAAGTGTCCAAATGATTTATATGCTTGCATGTAAATCACTGCATATAGGATCAATCCACTGTTTTGTCTTCTTGTTTTGATGAGTGTCCTTGTAGAAATTACAGAGATCTGGCAACAATCCACCATTTTCCTTTTCCTGTGATATGTCAAACACCAAAGATAACACTCCTTCATTAATATGGTTAATTCGTTAAATAAGTGTGGATAAAGTTAATAAATCAACGAAATACATCTCACCACAATACTCATCGCTGCCGGAAAAGATCGCGGCCCACTAATGTGATTGTAGGATAGCTTGCTCCTATTCTTTTTGCCGGCGTCGTAGCGACGCTACAAAAATCCACATTGTACGGGTTTATTACATATATAGTTAAAGTACTAAGTCATTTTTTTGGGGTCATGGTTAGATACAAAAATCTACATTGTAAGGGTTTGTGACATATATAGTTAAACAATGATAACAGTACTAAGAAGCCTTGTGAAGGTGGTCAAATACTTTGCATTTATAGGTAGATAATTTGATCCTTCATTCTATATGATTTCACAGAGCTTGTTATTAATACATTATTATTATATAACTAAATCATAACATACCTTGTTTGCAGGATCTAACCATACTTCGTCAATCAAATACTTCCAATCATCTAATCTGATTCCTTTGTATGGATGAGCATAGGGATTAGTTCCCGCATCCACAAGCTTCTCCCATTTCTTCTTCATTCTGCACTTCCAATCTTTATGCAACACGTTACACTTCTTTTCCACAACTTGCTGGGATAGTGCATTGTCCTCATAATTATCCCCTATTTCAAATTCATCCTATAATCAATGCAAACCAAATAAGAAACTTGCAATTATGTAATGTGAACACTGAAAATATGTTGTTTCTTTGTGATATCTAAATACAACGAGGTGCAAAAATTAATGAAAAAGAACATCACTTCATAAAAGAAAGAACACATTTAATAAATGAAAATCACTTCATAAACCTTAGGTGCAAAATTTAATGAAAAAGAAAGAACATCATAATGTGATCACTTCATAAACCTTAGGTGCAAAATTTATCAACTCCTAGGCAATAAAAAAACCAATCTCTAAACAAGTCCTCCCAAGGACTGCAAAAACCCATATCCACAACAAAACACATTTCTAAGGATCAAGCAATGGCAACAATCACCCCTTGCACTATTAAAATATCCACAATAGCAAAACAAGACCGAACCAACACAATTCAGCAAGAAACCCCTCTGCTGCAGTCCCCTAAAACAATACAACAGCAGGCATTTCAAAACTCCCCTGTGACACACAACAGCAGGCAACAGAACAGCAGTAGGCAACATTTCTAACTCTATACAGCAGTAGGCCACAACATCAGAACTGGGATCCTCATGAAGAACCAAAACAAAGTGAGCTTTGGGAGAGCAGCAACCCTGAGTTTGATGACCTCACACAGCTCCACCAGATCTAGTTGTGTGCCATTAAAGATACTGCCATACCTCTGTTTCCAAATAAACCATAACACAGCCACAGGAATAGTTTTCCAGCTTACCCTTTTCTGTTTTTTCAATTATAACAAAAAACATCTATATACCAATCTTTTGTTTTTTTAACCCTCTTTTGTTTTCTTAAACCTCTGGATGGCCTGCTCTGCTTCTCTTCTCATTGTTTTAAATTACAGTTAAAAGGAAATCCTCAGCAGTTCTTGTTAATTAATGATACTTTTTTGACAATCTAGTTATGTGAACCATAGTTTTCTGACTTTTGGTTATGAGGATTTTGTGTGTTTTTATTATGAACTAATTTGATCTTTATTACGATTCAAAAGTAGTAGAACCTATGAATCAGTATCGCTAAAATTTTAGTAGTAGAACCTATGAACTAATTTATCCCATTATTAAAACTGACACACATCTGTTGCTGAATGCTCCTCGCAACAAACCTTATATATCCCTATCCCGTCTCCCTTGTATTTGCCAATTCCAATCTCTCTCTCTCTCTCTCTCTCTCTCTCTCACACACACACACACACACACACACACAAGAGATCAATGGAGCAGTCAATGCACAAGCTTTCAATTATGGTCCTTCTAATGATGCAATTTGTTTTTAGTAATCTCATTTATATATTTGATCCTCCTCCTATCTCAATTTGAGATTTGGTTATAATCCTTCTTTTTTTTTTTTTGAAGTAATATTTTTGTGTATTGATCATAGAAAAGTGCTATGAAATTTGGTTTATTTGTTCTTGATTTGGAACTATTCAGCTCATATATCCGTTGCTGTGTGTGTGTGGTGTTGGGAGTAGATCTTCTTGATCTTTTTCAGTCTTTAATCAACAGCTTGGTTACAATTTTAGTGGATGTCATATCACATTCTTGGTTCAATTCTTCATAAAAAATCAAATCTGTCTTCACAATGAAGGGGTAAAAATCTGCATCATTTCAATGACAACAAATTTAGACTCTTTTTGGATAGATGGATTGAAAAATGAAGGAAATTTAAGGTCAAATTTCACAAAAGTATAGGAGAGTTTGTTACTATAGTTTTATTGGGAATCTGAAAGGGAACAAAGAAAAGTATTTTTTTTAGTATCTTTGTACAACTTCAGTATGAAGGATTTAAAATAACAACTACTACATTTTTATTTCAAGTCTATCACATTAAAGACATCAAGTTCAACAATAAAATCTATATCTAAATTATCAAATCTAAATTTGAGCTATTCCCTATTAATGATTAGTGTCAAATCCTCTTATTTCAAATTTAAAATCCAAATGCACACTTAAAAGGGAATCTATCAATCATTTTGAGTGAAAAAAAATAAAAAAACAAAAAATATAAAAAAAAAAAGAAGCCCGGGAGATCTTCTAATTGAGACCCTTGAGGTGGTGTGTTTAGATCAAATAATCTTCATTACTATCATAACCCCATATTCTCCAAGATTCACCCTATAGTCTCAAAGATTCACCCTATTATTGAGAAATGTAACAAGATCTTGCAATTAAAAGACATTTAACTCATTGTGACACCTAAAATTAATCACGGGAAGATGTCGGCTGCTTCCTCGGATTAAATAAATGCTAAATTCACTATCAACAAGAAGATTACATGGAAAATGTGAACCTGGCAACATCAAAATATTATATAAAAACCAACCTAATGAGTTAGGTTACACTTCGAAACATCACTAAATAATAGTCACACCATGGTAAACAAAGAAATTAATTCTTCATAATTTATCTATGAAATCAATTCTTCATAATTTATCTATGAATGATAGTCACAACATGGTAAACAAATAACACAATACCTGTGTAAAAAATCTATAAAAAAAATTTAAATTAAATTTTTTTTTAAAAAAAAAAGGATACTAAATATGCATACTGAATAGATAGCAGAGAGAAAGTGGTTGAGAGATGACTATCAATTTCACTTACTTGCCTACAAAATTAACATACTACATATGCACTAGGTCATTTTGATGACATGAAAAGATTATAAAAAATAAATAAATAAAAAAAGAAAAAGAAAAAGAAGAAGAAGAGGAAGAAAGAAGAAAATGTATTAGTTAAGTAGCTTTGCATACACTATGCATTTAATCATAGATGTATATATGCACATAGGTACACATAATATATGCTTGGTATATTGTTTTCTGTTGATATGTTGTTCATGTTATAACAGGCTGGAAGACATTCTTGATCATAATTTTTTCAAACATGAATGTCTAATTTTCTTCCTTTTGGGTTTTTTTATACGAAGCCCTAACAATCATGTCTCTTCCAAGCCACATGATCAATATTAAAATCTAGTTTTCTTTTCACTATATATTAATCATTTACTTTTGTATTGATTTTGTATTTTTATGTTCATTGAAATTGGCATGTTTACCTCCTAATTAGGTATATGGGGTCAATCTGGAAGGGACTAGTAGTCTCTGGATGGTTAGACGACTTTATTTTAACTTTAATTTTTGTAAGTACTGTTAAACGATCATCAAAATAAAAGTGTTAATATCTTATAATATTAAAACTACTGGTTTGTTTGGTTTTTGAGAAAATAGATGGATAAACTCTAGCCATTCGTATGGTGCAAAGATTATTGGTTGATTCACTAATGCTTTCTTGGCACAAATAGGAAATTTGCACGAGAAAAGTTAATAATATTTATTAAAATATTAAATACTAAAAGTATTGTTGTGATTCATTTTAAGGCTTCTGTTGGATAGAGTATAATTTATAATTTTAGAACTATTGTGCTAATTCGATACTCAATCATCAATTAAAGAGCACAGATAACATGAAGAAGATATGTGAGTTCATATTTTGAAAAACTAATGTACTAATAGTTCAATCAACAGATTAGTTCAGCTTCTTAGCCACTAATAGCAGACTACCAACAGATTAGTTCAGCAATCACACCCTCTTAATAGTCACCATAACCTACCAGACTAGCACCAAGACCAACACAAGGACTGATAGCAGATGAACAGATCAGCAAGCCAAATAGACTAAAAGATAGTTCAAACAAGACTAACTAGCCACAGAACACCAGATCACAAGATAGTTCAACAACAGATCATCAGACCTTTCACTAGCAAACAGAACAACACCTAAAAACTGTAGCATAACAGAGCTGCTCTGCATCCAGCTAAGTGGGCTCATCACAACTCATTGCATCAGTGCTCCTCCACAGCACAATCTGATCTGTCTTATAATACAGATGAAATCATGGATTGAGAAATTAAAATCCTTTAGGTGTGGATTTAACCACAGAGCAATCATAGTCTAAATCTCATACATTCTATACTAAGGGTAGCGCAAATTCAAAAGGTGATGAGAACAGATTAATGCCTGAAATATGCCTAAAACCATGCTTCCAAGCAAATTATAAATTTGTATCTCTCGGAAGCATGTTTGCTAATATAACCATCGAAATACCCTATCAACCACTAATAACTTATTTACACATTCATTATGTTGCTAATATGTTAGGCCCAGCTACACTAATAGACATATTCATATGAACCTGTCAACTAGCAACAGGCCAACAGCTCAATAGCATAATAAAACAAGACAATGGGCTAGGCAGAACCAATCTACATCACTTCTTCATTTTCATTTTCTTCTTTTTTTCTAAAATACTATTAGAAGTTAGATACTCTACGGTCCACCATTAGGCTATAGTTCCCTTTACATTAAAAGGATAAAGATTGCACATAAGATTAGATATAATGATGTGTAAAATCCATAAGGGTTGAATCAACATCCTAATATATGGTGACAAAAATGCCAGAGGGCTATAAGAACAATCATTCTTAGTATTGTATGACAAATGGCATTAGTGCAAACTCAATACAGTGCTCATAATTCCTTAACACCCTATAATTCCGTTGTTTCTCTGCCCTACGATTCCTGAGGTGGTACCATGATTACCATTATGAATCAGAGGGTCAGAATGGCAAATATCTTAGGTAAAATTGTTATGAAACGAGATATGCAGAGTTTTACTGTGTATGACAAGCTTTCATGACCAACAAAGAAAACAAATTCCCATCCTACATGCACATGAAAACTGCACTTTTTCCATAATCCACACATACTATGAAAGAAATTAAATCATACCCGGACAGCTTGTACAACAGCCCCTTTTGTCGCAGGATCAGCAACAGTCTAACTTTTAACGCCTTGAATGGGGCACATCCTCCTAATCTGAATGTCAATCTCATTAGCTCCTGGGGTCGCTAGCGCACCCTCGAATGCATTGAATGTCTCAGTGATTGGAATGTGGAGCTTGTTTCCATTATTGTTGGCAACTCTTTTTGCTGTTGTTTTTCCAATTGTTGGTCCCCACACTCGCCTTGATGAAGATGCACCTACATATTTGATAATGTTATTAGTGTATTTACTAATGTAAAAATATAAACAATAGATAAATTGAAGGTAGATGAAACATATTTAATTTCCTGCGCCACTTGTTTGACTTTGAGGAGATGGTGCATGCATTTCAGATGGAGATGCTTCACAAATCTCAAATCCATGCGGTGCATTAGTTTGAGACGGAGATAGTGCAATAGTCTCAGATCCTGACAACACATTAATTTCAGGCAGAGATGGTCCAATAGGCTCAAATCCATCTGCTGCAAGACCTTCAGGATAAGGTGTACATGTATCGGTCAAGGGTGAGTAGGGTTCAAGTAATTCCCTCTTCGGTGGTGGTAAACAGCGCATCTTCTTTGCAGGAGCCATTCTGTTACATTTTAACATAATCAAATGCAAAGTGCACAATGAGCACACGGATAAGCACAAATTTTTAATGTGAACACATACATATACATCAACAGTAACAATTACCAAATATAATAACTAAGAAATGAACATCCATGAAAATCTTAATTTCATACATATATATTAATCCATCTACGTAAATTTGCAAGTGATATTGATGACATATATTTTTTTTCTTTTTTTATCGGAAAAAAGAAGACTTTATTGATGAAATATATGAATAAGTACATCAATAAAGAGGAACTTGGAGCTATAACAAGCTCCAAACTCCTAGTTGGTGAGAGACCAACACACAAAGCAAACAAAGCAAATAAAGCCAGAAAATCCAGAAAGATTAGGCACTACAACACTGCCATGAATAAAAACCAGATGAGGCACTACAGTAGCCCTTCCAAGCACCAAAACAGATCACCAAAATAGAACAGGCAGAGAAGACAACCAGCCCTTCATGCAGAGAATCCAAAACAAAACAGAACTGCCATGAAATACTACAGCCCAACAATCATACCAAACACACTGCCTTCAACTCAAGCAGCCCTACATCCACTCCAAGCACCAAGATTGTTTAAGCCAACACAGTAACAAAACAGATACACAGCCATGAGCAAAGCAAAACAAATCAGGCACCACAGATCAATACATCAGCAAAAACAGAACAGGCACTACAGCAGACAGCCAGCCCTTCAGGTATGTACACTACAACAGACAGCCAGCCCTTCAGGTATGTACACTACAGCAGACAGACAGAACAGGCACTACAGCAGACACACAGCACAGAACACACTCTAAATCAAATGCACCATAACACAACAACAACCAGAGCAGCAGTTCACAGGTTAAAACTGTCAGCGCATGATGCAGAATTTCCCATTTTGCAAATTAAATACATATAGGTTCTATGTCATGATTTATATAATTAAATACATCAAGGTTCTATGTCATGATTTATATAGTTAAACAATGTCAAATTCGTCTTCTTCTTGCTCATCATCGTCCTCAATGAAGTCATCTTCGTTGGTATCACAAATGAAAGCATCAGCAACACCCTCGACTTGTGTTTGACTATGAGATTGTGAAACCATTGTATTTGGAATAATTTCACCTTCAATATCATCTTTACACAAAACCCCTTGATCACCACCGCCTTCAACTTGCATACCATTTCCGTCCACAATTGGTACAACCTCGGTGGTTTCATTTTGTTGGAACACACTATTTAGAGCATCATTAGGGAAACCATCCATCTCTGTCACATTCCATATTCCTCGATGGTGGAATCGTTCTACAACTTTCCAATTCCCACCTAATTTGGTATCATTAACGCAGAATATTTGTTCTACCTGAGCTGGGAATACAAAGCGGTCATGTTCATACCATCGACTTTTTACATCGACACTTGTGACATGTGTATCCGTGAGACAAGTCTTCTTGTTACCGGTGTTATACCATTCACATTGGTACAAAACAACTCGATGTCTAAACAAATATGTCATTTCCCACACTTTCCTCAAGTAACCGTAGAAATGCATTGAATGACCTTCATGCTCGGCTTCTACAACCAACCCACTATTTTGAGTTTTACGATGGTTATCATGGTCGATGGTATGAAATTGAACACCATTAGAAATGCATCCCAAATATGTGTTGACTATTGCACTAGGACCATTGGCCAACGACCACAATTCATATGTTGCTTCCGGCAACCCTTGATTCCGCAACTGATTTATCTACATAAGCAATACGTGTTATGTTACTTTGTTCAAGTTGGTTATAGCATAATGTGCTCAAATGTTGGATGGATAGGTATGTCTTACACGTTCTTTGAATCACTTAGGAAATTCATCCCGTTGCCTCTTTGTGGTTTCACATGTACTTCCATTTTGCAAAATGTTCTTGTGTTCCCTAATTAATAAGAATAGTAGATAAGTAAGACATGATTACGAATAATCAGGCAAAACATAAATGGTTTTTTTAACTTTTTTGAGGCCTGAAAACATACTCTAGATATTGTTCCATGTCAAAGCTATTGTATAAGACAAACCATTGAGTCATCTCTCGTTCGTGGAGAGGCACGTTTGGTGCCCTACTGATTAGACCAAATGGATGAACTTTTTGAGAGAAGATGGCTAACCCTAAGCCATGATCACCACCGTCATCATTCCTTTCTGCTCGATTAAACACTGTTTCAAATCCATCAAGATACATCAAGCAGAAAGTTGTACACTCTTTGGAAATGTACGCCTCTGCAATTGATCCTTCAAGATGAGCTTTATTGGCAACAAATCCTTTTTAGCATTCCAAGTAGCCTACAAGAGAAATTTTTTTTACTATGTACATACTACATTGACAATATATAGACTACCATTAAAGGTTGATGACAGTGATATGGTAAGAGCATAAATAATTACCGTTCAATTGGGTACGTCTATCTATATTGCACTAGCCCTCCAAGTATTGCCTCGCGCGGCAAATGAACAACCAAGTGAACCATGACATCAAAGAAAGCTGGAGGAAAAATCTTCTCAAGCTTGCAAAGTACAAGTATGATTTGATCCTCTAGCTTCTGTAAATTTGTCACCTTCAACGTCTTTGAACACAGTTGTTGGAAGAAATTTCCTAACTCAAACAAAGTCGTACCAATTTCATTGTTAAGATACCCGTGCATCCCAACCGAAAGTAGTCGGTGTACAAGCACATGACAATCATGACTTTTGAGGCCTGAGATTTTGCCACTGTCAGTATTCACGCAATTAGAGATGTTTGCTGCATAACCATCAGGATACTTTATTGATTTCAAAAAAGCTCCAAAGCCTTGTCTTTCTTTCGTGGATAATGTGTACACAGCTGGAGGCTTTACAAATGACCCATCACTACGACTCTGTAGGTGTAACTCCTTCCGAATTTTTAAATTTGCTAAATCAATCTGTGCTTTTTCTGTGTCCTTATTCTTCCCATCTACATTTAATAATGTCCCCATCAAATTGTCACAAATGTTCTTCTCTATGTGCATGACATCAAGGTTGCGTCGAAGCTTAAGCGTCTTCTAGTAAGGCAATTCAAACATAATGCTTCTCTTTGCACAATTCAACACTGGATTTTCGTCCCTTTGTCTTTTTCTATTATTTGGATGTTTTCCAAATGGCTTGTATGTCCCAGTCTCAATTTGGTCTAATATTTGCTCCCGTGATAACTCCAACGGTCTGCACCTAACCTCACTTTGTCCGTTAAACAACTTGCTCCTTCGCCATCTATGGTTCTCGAGCAAGAAACGACGAGCACCTATGTACCCTATCTTACTTGTTAACCTTTGTGACGATGCGTCCTTATTACAAGTGGGACAAGCCAAATAACCTTTAGTAGTCCACCGGACATGATACCATATGCAGGGAAGTCGTTGATGGTCCACATCAGTGCAGCATGCATTCTAAATGACTCTTCGTTTTTCGCACCATAAGTTCGCACCCCATCCCCCCATAACTCTTTCAACTCCTCAATCAATGGCCATAAGTAAACATCGATATCTCTTCCGGGAGCCGATTGTCCAGGAATAAGCAATGACATCATGGAGAAAGGCTCTTTCATACACTTCCATGGTGGGAGGTTGTAAGGCATTAGGATAACGGGCCACGTACTGTATGATGTGCTCATGTTTCCGAATGGATTGAAACCATCGGTGGCGAGCTCGAGCCTTACATTTCGTGGATCCATGGCGAACATAGGATGTTGCCGATCAAAGTCTTTCCATGCCTCAGCATCAGCTGGATGCCTCAAGATTCCATCATCCACACGTTTCTCCTTGTGCCATCTCATATCTATAGCGGTTTCCTTGGACATATACAATCTCTTCAATCTTGGTGTCAATGGAAAGTACCTCGATATCTTGTGAGGGATCTTCTTACCCTTTCCATTGTCCAACTTGTATCTAGGCTCTTCACACTTGGGGCAATTATGAAGATTTGCATGCTCCTTCCAAAATAGTGCACAATCATACCTACAAGCATGAATGGGAACGTAGCCCAAACCCACGTCACGTAAGAATCTTTTCGTAGCATATATGGTCCATGGAACAGTCTCATCACACTTAGGTAGAGTGTCCTTGAAAACTTTTATAACCATATCAAATGAGTTATTGCTCCACTTGTTGTACACCTTAATGTGAAGCATCTTAATAATAAATGACAACAAAGTGAACTTTGTGCATTCCGGGTATAGTTCATGCTGAGCATCTTCAAATAACTTATCAAAGTTTCGCCCATCCACACTCTCAAAAGTAGCAGGTAATTCATCCCCTTCATCATCCATTGCAAAACCCCTACAAACCTCTTCCAACATAGTAGGCAAATCATCCCCGTCATCCTGATCTTCCCCTACAATTTCACTATATATGTCATGGTGACCTTCATTCGGTATGAGAGGTTCAACCACGGGAACAAGTTCCCCATGGTGCACCTAGGTCTTGTAAGAAAGAGATATCCCTCTTCGAATCAAATGAATCCTAACAACTTGGATCGTATGTTTTTTGTCATTCAAGCAATCAATACATGGACACCGAAGATTATCCTCTAAGCCTACATTTCTCATCGCAAATTCAATAAATGAATTCACCCCTTCTTGATACTCCCTACTACTTAATCTATTTTTTATTGTCATCCAACCCTTGTCTATTTGGGCCATCTGAATGGTTAAAGACAACCATTACAGTAATTAATCTACATAATATTACAGAAAGTGTTAGAAACTACAAAATGAAATTTCCTAATAGTAACGGGAAGGAGAGATTTAAAAAAATAAAAATAAAATAAACTAAATTAAGCAACCTACAAGCATGCAATGCTTGCTACATTAAGAATTGTTCAAATAGGGTTCTACAATTCCACTCCAAATGAAACAATTTATGTTACACTTATGAAACAAAGCAATCAAAAGAACAATGCTAACATGGATACCGTAACAAATATTTTTTAGCTACGTGATCAGCAAAAGAAAACTTTATTGATGAATACATACAAAGTATGATAAGATCCTTCAATAACGAGGAGCTTGGAGCTAGCACAATCTCCAAGCTTTAGTTGGTGAGAAACCAACAGACAAAGCAAAGCAACAAAACCAACAAACAAAACAGCCAATGGCCACTGCTGAGCACAAACAGACCAACAAAAGCAGCCAAGAGTTGAAAATCAGCAGAGTAAAAGAGCTGATTCTACATACATGAACAACATTTGTTTTTTAAATAAATAAATTACTCTATTAATTTGGAAAACATACAACATATCTCATCAATTTCATATAATTAGACTATACTCCTTTAATGTTTGGAGCTCTTTAGTTCAAGTGTCCAATCTCACCCTCCTCGTGCTTTTTTCCCTTTCATTGCTTTTGCTTTCTCTTCTTTTCTAAAATATTGACAGTGTGGACATGGTCTATCTCTGTGTGTCTGTGTGTCTGTGTGTGTGGAGCCATGCAAGCTGCCTTGACTACCCCCACCATTATAGGGCATAAGAAGCTTTCACAATTTCAAATTGTATGTGTTAGGTTATAATGTCTTGGATCTAGATTCATATGGTATTTGAATATTAAATTTATGTATTTATAATTATTTAGTGCACGAGAGATGAGATTCTCCAAAAAATATGCACAACTGTATTTATATTTTTATAGAGATTGTTTATATGACTCAAACCCATGCGACAAACACTTTTGAATTTTGAATTTTGAATTTGTAAGGAAGAGAAACTTAAGAGAAAAAATATATATTTTAATTTCATTTACAAATAGCTTAATAAATTTAAAATCCAAACACAAGTTGTTTGAGGGATAGCATTAAAATCATTATTGTAACTACAAATGGTTCATTTAGAAAATAAATTATTTGGACTTAATTTGAGCATTACAAATTCTAAAAGAAAATAAGGTGAAAACCTAAAAAACATTGCCAAACAACAAATGTTGTGAACATATTTTTAGAACTGAAGCTAAAAAAACTAGTTTTCTTTGGCTGTTTTGCCAAAAAACAAATGTTGTCAACAATGCGAAGCAACAAAACCATCAAACAAAACAGCCAATAGCTCAAAAATAGACCAACAAAAGCAGCCCAACCAAAGCAACCAGCTACACTCAATGGAAGACTAATTCCAAGACTATTAGCAGACTAACAGATCAGCAAGACTATTAGCAGACTAGCAGACTATTAGCAGGACTAACAGGTTCAACCCTCGGACCCTCTTTCTAGTAGACTAGTAGTCGCAGCAATCGATACATTTTTTTTTCTTTTCTTTTTTGGATCAACGTAGCAGAGCAACACTACAACTGAGGAAGCATATCAGCAGAACAGAGTGGTGAAAGATTGGACTGCCAAAAATGTGGAAGGGTTTGGCAAGAAAAATGGAGGTGAAGTAGAAGGAGAGGAAGAGGAGGAGGAAGGAGCTGGAGACATTGTAGAACAAACTAGGAAGTGTTTCTTTGGAACATTGCATTTTCTTTGTTGTGCCTCTGGAAAATGTGTCTATGACGATACCAATCTCTTTTTACACAAGTGTTTGTGCTTTATTTGCTTGCACTCCTTTAATATTTTCCTGGTGTGCCCAAATGGACCATTGGCATTGCTTTCCTCAAAATAACTAATATGCCCTTGTGACTTTTAAAATGTTTAAGTCACTATGATAGTTAATCTAGTGGACTAGCTTAGTTGACTATTTTTACATACTTCTAATTACAAGATTAGGGAGTCAATTTATGCCAAAGACAAAGATTCATTATTTTTTCTCTATTATTTATAAATTATGATTGTTCAATTTAATAATATTATCTTCATAAATATAAATAATCACTTGCCAATTGAAAAAAAAACCCAAAAAAATCACTATTTTTATATACTTCTAATTACAAGATTAGGGAGTCAATTTATGCCAAAGACAAAGATTCATTATTTTTTCTCTATTATTTATAAATTATGATTGTTCAATTTAACATAATTATCTTCATAAATATAAATAATCACTTGCCAATTGAAAAAAAAAACCCAAAAAAATCACCATCAAAGTTGCTACCCTAAATGGAAAAATGCACACAGTAGTGTAAAAGAAGAGGTTGTGAAAGGATCAACTTCTCATGATAGAAAATTTTGTAAAATAATCAACTGCTACATGACAGCTGAATGAATAAAAAGTGTTGAAAAGAATTCAGATCTTTTATTTCCATAAGACACTAAGTAAAAATTTGGAATTTTAGAACTTGCTAACATCCTTACAGATAAACACTATATATTTGAACTAAAAGCAAAATAAACAAACTAGATGATCCAAGAAATAGAGAGGAGCTACTCTACAATATTTGATTTATTGCTCAATAAATTTATTCCACAAGTCCATCCTTTCACACATGTATTCGACCGAACTTCACATTAAAAGTACATAAATATTTTCGTTAAAACAAAACTCCTAATAAAAACAATAATAAAAAGAAGAGACCAACACCTGGCCACAAGCATCCATAAACATGTGTGACACATATACTTTGTAAAAGAAAATATTAAAATATGGCCAACAAAAAGTTCTATTATTTTAAAAATAGTTCAATTAAAAAACTATTAACATAGGTTAATTGCTTGTGGCTTTAGACAAGTTCATTTGGGGAGGGCTTATGGTATTCCTTCCCTCTTAATGGAGAAAGGGCCTTTATAACAAGAGAGGGGTGTTTAGTCATTTTAGAGCTTTTCATTGGATTCTTCTCATGTTCTTCTTCTTCTTGTCTTTAACTTGGCCACTAAGGTTTCTTTCCTTTGAATCAAAAGGTCGAAAAACTAAGGTTTCTTTCCACATACAAATCCTATTGTGCACTTTAGGGACAAGCAACCAAATTTCTGTTTGGTTTGGTGCCCTAAACTCTAAAGTAATTAATCAACTGTACAGAAGTCAACACCTTTGAGTCCTGAAAACTTATTGAACAAATTTATGTCGTGGTTCAATTAAATATTTATTTGTTTAAATAGTAAGATTTATTATTTTTTTGCAACAGTTGGTGTTTCATAAGATAACATAAAAGCATCAATTGATAAATGAATAAGATTTTCTTTGCTGATTAAAAAAAAAATTAGGAAAGATGCTCCCCTAGCATATAAACTCGGATTAAAATTTCTACTACTTTAATTTTTTTTCTTAACCCCACATAAATCCCACTTAGGCAAGGTCTATAGCATAATTAGGGCTTTTAGTGTAGTGGTTGTATAGAACTACTTGGTAATGTGAAGTTTGCAGGTTCAATTCTTATAGAAAAAAATTTGATATATCTTTTGTTTACCTTACGTAAATAGCATAGAGATGAACAATAATTGCATACCTAAGAGGATATTGTCACGGTGTTAACTTTTTTTTTTAAAAAAAAATTATTATATTTTAATTGGTTTAGGATATTGTAATTGGTTTAGGGATTGATAGACATCTGTCATATTTATTATGGTATTTGAGAGGCAACATAAATGGCTATTTGTGATTAATGGAAGATGTGCTACCCTGTATATAACCCATAATTTTTCTGTGTACATAGATTCACTCTGTTTTTTCATTTGTTTTTTTTATTTATTTTTAAGTCTCTTCTTCAAAATTCAACTCCAACTTGTAAAGGATGGTATATAGGGTAAGTCCTTGTACAGCTTCTGGCTCATTTAAGGGTACTTCAAAAATGGAATAAATCCAATTAACCAACTAACTAGTTTGGAAATCAAATTACAAATAACTTACAAAAGCACCCAAAAAAGTTTTATTCTCATTAAGTATATTTCCCAATATAAAAAGGGATACTTAAAGAAAGATGAGAAATAAAACACTACAAATATAAAAAGGGATACTTAAAGAAAGAGGAGAAATAAAACAGTACAAGAACATCACAGATTGGGGGGGACTTCACAAACAACAGAACGGAATCTTATTATCGACATAGCCCGGCAGCAAACATCAACACAAACATTGACAGTGAGAGGGAGACACAGGCAGAGACTGATTGAGTGAGAGTGATATAGAGGATTTATACCTGAAATTGTTTTTCGAGAGAGTTGAAGATGCTCTGAAAAATGGCGATGGTGAGGGCCCTGGTGGGTGAGACATTGTAGAACAAGACAAGTATGAGAAATCAAAGAGAAAAAGTGAGGTGTGAAGAGATATAAACAGAGAGAAACTATTATAAGTTGAAAAAAAATACCTAGATGAATCAGAAATTGCAAAGACTGCCGGCAGCGCAGACCGACGGCAAGGTCGATGGTAAGGTGATGTGATTGGCTCGACTGAGCTTTGATCGAATTCGACTGAGGTGTGAATTCGATTGATCTTTCGAAAGAGGCACGTATTTATGATTTATATGTGTTTGAATTAGTAAAGTTATCCCCTACCAACCTGTGGGTCGGCTAATGTCTGTATGCGAATTTAGATACCAAAACGACGTCGTTTTGGTATCAGCGACCAAATTATATTAGTCGCTGAAAGGTCAGATAGCTCCCGCCCAGATTTTATTCTCCCGTCCATATTTTTGGCGACAAAATTTGTAATTTGGTCGCAAAAAATTACTTATTTGCAACAAAAAAAATTTGGTCGGTAATAGAAAAAAGTTTTAGCTATGAAATTTTAATTTGGTCGGCAAATGTCATTTTTTTGCGACTAAAATTTTTTTGGTCAACAAATGTGTAAATTCTTGTAGTGTGTGAATAACAGTAATCAATAATAACACTTAAGATTAAAAGCAGTGATAAAATATGTTTGATGACTCAGAAAGTAGTTATCTATAATTAATAGTACTTGTGGCAAACGAGAAAGCAACCAATGTTTTATTTACACCTAAACAATCATAAATAGTAATCAATGTTTTCTCATTCACTCATGTCTCTTCTATTGTAACTGCTAAGCATTCCCCCCGACTCTGGTTCGGGGGCTATTTTACAATTTTGGCCCCCGAATGGCTTTTTTCGGCTAAGTTTAACGCATTTTCGACTCTAACTCCTAACCTACGTGTACTAACTACATGTCGCCTATCCCCACAGGTCCTATTTGTCATGAGGAAGATGCCCGTGACATCCATAGAGCGGTTCAGGGATTGTTTTGCATTTTCACCCCCTAAAGGCCCATTTTCAACCAAGTTTAAGGCGTTTTCGATTCTCACTCCCAACTTATGTGTACTGATTACATATCGTCTGTCCCCACAAGTCCTATTTTTCACGAGGAAGCTTCACATGACATCCATAGAGTGGCTAGAGGGGGCTGTTTTGCATTTTCACCCGTTGAACGGCTTTTTTCAACTAAGTTCAGGGCGTTTTCAACTTTAACTCCCAACTTACATATGCTAATTACATGTTGTTTGTCCCCATAGGTCATATTTGTCATGAGAAAGCTGCCCGTAACATTCATAGAGTGGTTTGAAGGCTGTTTTGCATTTTTGCCCCCTGAACGACTTTGTTCAGCTAACTTTAAGGCATTTTCGACTGTTAACTCCCAACCTACGTGTGCTAATTACATGTCGTCTATCCTCACAAGTCCTATTTGTCACGATGAAGCTTCCCTGACATCCATAGAGTGATTCGGGGGCCTTTTTACATTTTCACCACCTGAACGCCCTTTTTCGACTAAATTTAAGGCGTTTTCAACTCTAATTCCCAACCTACATGTACTAATTACATGTCATCTGTCCCCACATGCCCTATTTGTCATAAGGAAGCTCCTAACATCCATAGAGTGGTTCGGGGGCTGTTTTGCATTTTTGGCACCCCTAAACAACTTTTTTAACTAAGTTTAAGGCATTTTCGACTCTAAATCCCAACCTACGTATGCTAATTACATGCCATCTGTCCCCACAGGTCCAATTTGTCATGAGGAAGCTTCCTGTGACATCCAATGAGTGGTTTGGAAGCTGTTTTGCATTTCGATTAAGTTGAAGACGCTTTCGACTCTTACTCCTAACCTACGTGTGCTAATTACATGTCGTTTGTCCCCACAAGTCCTATTTGTCTTGAGGAAGCTGCCCGTGACATCCATAGAGTGGTTCAAGGGCTATTTTGCATTTTTGCCCCCCGAACGTGCTTTTTTGACTAGGTTTAATGCATTTTCGACTCTAACTTCCAACCTACATATGCTAATTACATGTCGTTTGTCCCCACACGTCTAATTTTTCACGAGGAAGCTGCCCGTGACATCCATAGAGTGAAAAAACTAACTATTTGGTTTACAACAAACTTACTTGGTTTTTCAGCTCTAAAAGTTTAAAATAAGCTGAAAAACTAACTACAATGGAGTTCAACTATGAAAATAAGTGTGAAGCCATCGCCTTATTTTTTTGGGGGGGGTCTTTGCAAATGAAAAAAACATCATTGGTCGTTAAAAAAGAAAGTAAAATAAAGACTACACAAGTGAAATTCTTTTAAACATAAGAGGTTCAACCCTGTGGGTTCAATGTGCATGATTTTATAAAAAACAATTGGCTAATAATTTCAAGAAGCCAAAATGTAAACTAATTTTCTTTATATATATATACTCTCTGTTTTAAATCCAGATATCAATGTCTTGTAGACTAAGAACCAAATATTATTCTACAAGAACATGAAAAGGGCAAAGGGACATTTCCATCAAATGTAATGAAGCACAGAGACGGCATTAATAAGAGAGTCATATTAATTTTAATAAAGGAGTTATCATTAAAATTTAGGCAGAAAAGGATCATGGGTGATAGCTTAAAACCATTAGAAATAAACTTCATAATCCAATTGCAAATATTGCCCGGATAGGGTAGGTGGGAGAAAAGACCACAAGAAGCAAAACTGATCACAGTACAATGTCAATTAATACACTTTTTAATAGTATTACAAATTCATAAATAGGTGATTTTGCATAAATATATCCCACTAGACTATTTAAGTTACTCTTTGTTATTATGAGATGCTTTTTTTGCTTCTCTTTTTTTTTCAAGACTCATAATTTTTTAAGTCGCCACAACTACCAATTATGCATTTAATCAATTATCTTCCATCAAAATCAATGAAACCAAACAAGACCAAGTTATAGGTGCACAATCAAAATGTAATTAGGTATCAAGCCAAACAAGCATCTTGTGCATCTCTGCTAAGTCTATAAATCAAACTTAAATTCATTTTTAAAACTCATTAAAATTTTAAATTAAATTAAATAACTTACCACTCAACTCAAACTCTATTCAACATGTTTATAATCCTAACTATGTCAAGCCTACACCTGATAGGGTCCAATAGATGTAAATGAGGCTAGAAGATGGACTCGAAAGTGTTAACCAATGGTATAATTTTATTTTATTTTTGAAAAAAAAAAGTGTACTATATACACTCTATAATCTAACAAAATCACAACATTTGGTAATACTAGTTGAAACCTCACACGCTACGCGCATAATGGTCGCATCGTAGATGCAATTCTTATTCTCGTGTCAATGTGTCTATATGCTTGCTTGTTTAAGTTTTACAACAATGAAGTACATGAAATGGAAAAATGACCAATAACATAATAATTTAGCCAAATGATTCATGCATTATGTTAAAGAAACTCTACTTTTTCTGTAACGCCCTCAAAATAATACATAAAACCCATTACTTTAGACATACATTGATATAAAAGAAACCAACCATTTCTATTCATCAGAGTAATTCTTACAACTGTATTACATGTTAACAACAAAAGCAAATGCCGTATGGGCTTACAGCTTTCCAAGTCAACAGCTGGTTACACAAAAGAAGAGTACTAACTCCATACAAAATAGCCCTTGGCTTGATATACATGTAATACAAACAAAATAAACAAAAGAGTCTTCAACTCTCATCATCATCCAAGTTGTGTCCTTAGAGGTGGCATACTACCTGTACCTGAAAATAATGTCCCATATAGGGTGAGCCAACGCCCAGTAGAAATATGCTAAACACAGTATGAGCATTAACTAAGACATTAGCAATTGATAAATGTTCAGTTTCCATAAATCAATTCATAACCCATTTCCATTTCATGACCACTATGTTCATGTTTCGTTTCAATTTCCATTTCTTATCAATTTCACAATTTACATCAACGGCTCAGAACCTAGCCAACCACTTATATGAGACAGTGACTCATATTAAACACTTCCTATTTTTACAATAGATAAACATACTAGTTGTATCAATATCTCAACAGATAAGCATACAAGTTGTATCCGCATTTCAATAGATATGCATATTAGCTATATCCACACTTCCAAAGATAAGCATATGAGCTGTATCAACACTTCCAAAGATAAGCATATGAGCTATATCAACACATTATCTGACAAGCATATGAGTTGTATCAGTGGAGTCCATCCCCTATCTTCTCCCAAACAACATCCGGTTTAGAGGTCCATCCCCTGTCTTCCCCTAAACCGTGGAGTACATCCCCTATCTCCTCCCACACACACAACTTATATACACAAAGGTCATATACACAATCAATCAATATATAACGTTAATGTATTCTATCAACCGTCATACTCTATGACATATCCAATTGATTAGTTTTAGTTTGCCTAATCATCATGCATTGTCTACAACAATCAAAACTACCCTCCACCGGTAGCCCAAGCAATTATTTCTAAACAGATAATAAAAGCTCCAACAGATAAAATATCAATGTTTTCAAAAGTGAGCGATTAATAAACCTAACTCCACTATTCAACCATATAATGAACCAATTTCATTATTTCCAACTTAATTCCATAAAGTCACAATTTTTCCAAAATTAGGGTTTTCCACCCAATTTCCAAATATTGGCCCAATGGTCTAAATATCAACAACCAACAACAGTATCATTATTTTGAACCCTCAATACACATTTTAGACTCAAAATAACAAATCCTCTTTTAACATTTTGAAACCCTAAGTCCCAAAATTTACCCAACTTCGACACTTTATCAAAACAACCAAAAATCTATGTCAAAGATCATAAGAGTGAGTAGGAATCCCTACCTCATATTCGGAGCTCAAGGAAAAAAGGTGAAGAAACTCATCGTGCTCCAAAACTCAATCTTCTCGGATCAATGGGTAGCCCTCGACGATCAACCCAACTTTTACAAAGGCCGAAGGAAAAGGAAACACCCTAACTAGATCAAACCCTACAGACAAGGGAGTTTCTAGAGAGAGGAACTCTCAAAATGTCTTTTTAGAAAGTAAGAGAGAGAGAGAGAGAATGTAAAAAAGTGAATTTAAAATGCCCAGCTGCCAACTGATATACGACATTCCCGCTCGAGCGGAGAACACAACACTCGAGCGTCAAGAACAAAAATTAGGTACACTCGAGCGCAAGAAGACCCGCTCGAGCGCCAAGACACAAGAATAAAGTACATCCGCTCGAGCGCGAAAACTAGTCCGCTCGAGCGTAGATTTCCCCCTCCCAAAACTTACACCAAAAGGTGCTACCTGCTCGAGCGCCAGAGTAGCCGCTCGAGCTCCACCGCTCGAGCGTAAAGAAACCCGCTCGAGCGTGAAAAACATGCTTGCAGAAGTTCTGCAGAGCACCAAAATACTGGGAGCGTGCAATCTTCGCTCGAGCACAAGAAGACCTGCTCGAGCGGACCTCCTAAAAACTGGGTAACAAAGAATTGAAACCAAAGCCTAACCAACATGTAACAACTCTGCCCAATACATCCTAAAACCCGAACAAATGGAATTAAAGGATGACAACAAGATAGATACAACTACCAACTCCACGGAACTGAGTCCGGAATACAACAGAACAGTAAAGGGACGACCGAGATCGTTATAACCTCCCCCCCTTAAAGAATTTCGTCCCCGAAATTAAACACAAGTTTTTCAAAAACAGGTTTTCTCCATTCTCAACAACATTACAACATAATATTAAACAACCCGACCCATTACCGGTCAATCTCATCTCTTTTCAAGAGGCATATCACATTATTCATAACAACCTGCATTATCAACATGCATTCTTTTTAAATTTACCAATTTCAACCCATTTTCCGCAATTCCATAATATATGCAACATTATCATCATGCTTGCATTTCCACAATATACTTAACATACGCAATGTTAAAACAAACTTCCATTGACCAAAACATTCACAATGTTTTACAACTTAAGACATATATAATGCCCTTAAAGTTCAACGATATTACAAAATTACCAATGCATGGTTACACATCAACAAACAAGTCCGGATATTTCTCGCGGACTTCCAACTCAGGTTCCCAAGTGGCTTCCTCCACTCCGTGATATTTCCACAAAACCTTTGCCAAAGGAATGGTCTTGCCACGCAGGACTTGATCCCGCCTATCCAAGACCTGAACCGGTCTCTCCTCATATGAGGCATCCTCATCTACCTCCAAGTCAGTCCAATCTAACACATGGGATGGATCTAGCTCATACTTCCGAAGCACACTCACATGAAACACGTCATGCACTCCAGACAACTGTGGTGGTAAAGCTAAACGATAAGCAACCTCCCCAATCCTCTCAAGGATCTCAAAGGGGCCGATAAACCGAAGGGATAACTTCCCACTCTTCCCAAACCTCATCAAACCTCGTCTAGGTGATATTTTCAAGAAGACATGATCACCTACCTCAAACGCCAAAGGCCTCCTCCTACGGTCGGCATAACTCTTTTGGCGACTCTGGGCTGTAACAAGCCTCCTACGGATAAGCTCAACTTTCTCCGTCGTCTCCCTATGATGTCATTCTTGAAAAGTCCCTTGTACTGGAGGACTATAAACTTTCGCAGTACCAAGTATAAAAGTCCTACGGATCGTACAGTCCTTGTTTTGATAAGCTTGATGTGTTTTGCCGATGTCAGTAAGCATCTCTTGAGACTTGTAAGATTTGATTGATGATATGTTGGAGTATGACGAAGCATATCCTCAAGGATCTGAATAGTACGCTCGGACTGCCCGTCAGTCTGAGGATGATAAGCCGTACTAAAGGTCAACCTAGTGCCCATAGCACTCTGCAAACTCTGCCACAACCTAAGCAGTAAAACGAGGATCTCTATCTTAGACGATCTTCACTGGGACCCCTTGCAATCTTACTATGTCCCGAATATACAAGTCGGCGAGATGATCTACCGAATCTCTCACGCGCATATGAACGAAGTGCGCCGACTTAGTCAACCGGTCTACAACCACCCAAATGGCATCACTACCTTGCTGAGTCCTCGGAAGACCTACAACGAAGTCCATAGTGACATGCTCCCACTTCCACTCGGTAATAGGCAAGGGTTGCAACAAACCCGCTGGCCTCTGATGCTCGGCCTTCACTTGTTGACAAGTAAGGCACTTAGACACGAAAACAGCCACATCTCTCTTCATACCTCGCCACCAAAACTGGCGACCCAAATCCCGATACATCTTAGTGCCTCCCGGATACACTGCAAGGCGTGAATGATGGAACTCTCGGAGTACTTCCTCTCGGAAAGACTCCGGCACAAACAAACGGTCTCGGTATCTCACACTCTGGTCGGGATACACCGTCAAACCCTTCTCAACTTTCCCACTAGAGATATTCTCTCAGAAGGACACTACGTCAAGATCACCTCTCTGTGCCTCTAACACTCGGGTCACAAGTGTAGGCTGCGCAACAACAAAAAACAAGGCCGTAGCCTCAGCTGATTCACTCAGAAGCAAGTCAAACTCGCCAAGTGCACCCAACATCTCCCATTCCCAGATGGCTATACAAGCTACATCCCTAATGGATTTCCTACTAAGGGCATTGGCCACAACATTGGCCTTTCCCGGGTAATAGTGCAACTCAAAATCATAGTCCTCAATGAACTCCATCCACCTCCTCTGCCTCAAGTTCAAATCTTTCTGTGTAAACAAATATTTCAGACTCTTATGATCCGAGA